TTGATAGCGTCCTTGAGTTCACTAACCGCCTCTGTTTTATTAACTTTTACGTTGAAAGCATTTTCATAAGGGTTTTCGCCTACGACCAAACAGCTAAGAGTGATAATAGACATGGCGCTTTTATAGGAATATTTGGTTCGGATAAAAAATAGTGTTACGTTCCGGAGTGAGAAAATTTATTTATGTTCGGGAATACTGGGCGTTAATATAAGGTTTTTATGTCGCACAGGCATTGCATCATTACACGTGACCAGTTTCTCATATACGTTCGATAAAATAATACTTTATTTATGAAATAAAATAGTTGCCGGAGGCCAGGCAATAATACATAAAAATTGCGAATAGAGGTCCGACCAGAATCGGGTTCGCATTACATGGAACGAAAAAAATACTAATTATTCATCTTGGGGGTATATGGTAACAAGAATAGGACCTATTTCACCATCAAATTCAAAATAAGGAGGGTTTTCTTCATACCGTTTTACATCTTCCACGGAAAAATAATAAAAAATCTTTTGGGAGGGCTCCATTAATCTCCCTCGCCTTTCTTTGACAGCATCTTTATTCACAATATCTACAAAAACATAATTTTCTTGATTAAAATCCTTTCTGTATAGTTCGAAGTTTTTATGAAGTAAGTCTTTCCGAGCACTTTTAATCTTGTATTTCAGATCATCAACGGTCAAAGTATTATCAATTTCTACGGGAAAAATACTTTTCTTATCATCTCCACGAACAAAGCAGGTGAGACGAATATTACCATATGTAGAAGACATCTTGTTTTCCTAAATACAATGCCCATAGTGAGAAAAAACTCGCTTTCATACATACATAACTGGTCCCAGAGGGACCCTCTCTAGCACATACATACCTTAATTATTTTACGGGAAAGTTGGCTGAACTTCCACATACCCCTACATGCTTTATATCTTGCTGGAAAAGAGTTAAGGAGGTATGAGGCGTAATTAGTATTGTCGTCTGATGCCAAGAGTTCCATGAAAGCACATGTAAATGGAACCCTCATACCTTTTCACATGTAGATCTACCGGAAGACACAAACTTGGTTTTACGTCTGGCGATCTCGAAATTGTGACTCCCTCAGCCCTTCATAACATATGCTTTTGCCGTCAATATATACTTTTATGGTAGGTCCTGTCTTGCAACTAGACCTTCTTTCACATTTTTCTCATGTTTGTTCGGGGAAAAAAAAAAAAAAAAAAAAAAATAAAGAATAAAGGTTAATATGTTTTCTCTTACGAATATATAGAAAATTAATATGTTGCACAAACCTGCCTGGTGATCGGCTATTACATCATTGCGCAGAAATCTGTACTAAGTCTTCCGAGCTGATGATCACTTCTCTGAACTAGCTAGATTGGTAAAGTACGGTACCATTCTGATTGATTGGCTAGTATTCTATTACCAACTCTTGACATCAAACCGTAAATATTACCTTAAGTCAGCAAATATCTGTTCATAGCTATAATGTGGTGATCGGCACCAGAGTCAACTGTCATAGATATAGGTTGTCAGTGTATCTGAGATAGAACTGAATTATAGTTAATAGCATATCGACCAAGATAATCACTATGCCGAGTGTTATATAGCCATCTTATCTCTTGATCTAATTCAGCTCGCATATCCATAGAATTCATGAAATCCTCAACATGGATATTTGGATTGAGTAAAACGAGCTGATCTATGGCTTCTTTAGTAATATTAGCACACCCCTCCAGATTAAGATATTTTAAATAA